GATCACAAATGCAGACATGGTTTTATGTTACGCTCCGGCCAGACGGCATCACAATATGGTAAGGGGAGTAACAGTGCCGTCACACGCTTGAGGTATTCGGCCAATCACAACGCACTGGAAAGCTGGCCAATCACAGCACACCTTGCTTTTCAGACCGATGAGCTTTTTAAAAATCGACGCAGAAAGGCGGGGCATAGAGGAGAAACAATAATGTACAGTATGTGGAAAATAATGTGTTTTTTGAACCTTAAACCGCATAAACACATTTCATTACACCAAATGCTCAAAATAATGTTATTTTTAGCAGCATCATATGACCCCTTTAAGAACACATAGGGCCCTGGGGCTATAGCAAATCCAAGGGCCCCCTTTCGTAGTCTATCTTGGTGCCACAACGTTTTCACAGGAATAATTTTATTATTTTTTTTTTTTAAATCAAATCTCCAACACACAGAGATACAATGAGTATGCACACTAAATATTCCAGGCTACAACACATTAAAATAATAAATACATTAACACCAGATATATGAAGTCAAAGCAAACAGGTTTCCAGAAGCAGCAACAACTTTTGAGCATATACAGCTCCCTTAAGGAGTTTACGTTAAATTGTTTATTACAAGGTCTTCTTTCTGGCCCTAGAAGAGGAGAATCATCAAGGCTGGACTGGTGCTAAAATTCAGCCCATCTGGCCCACACAGTCCCCCATAAATGTTTTGCTGGGGTTTGGGCAATTGGAATAAACAAATAAATTTATTAATAAATAACGGACAAATTTTTTTAAATATTTTTGAATTCTTAAAATGCATTTAACAATATTAGTATTCCATTATTGCAGGCTCTTAATTATTGAATTCATATTTTTCTGCAATTAAAGTTAATATTACTATTAAATTCTCCTTTGTAGTTGCCCTACTGAAAAGCTAATTCTTGAATCCAGAGTTAACTATAGTATTAGTAAACCTTTATAAAAGTGACATTGCCTTTATTTGACCCAATATTTGATAGCCTATAACAATTTTCGAGACATTAATAATAAATATCATTAATGCCATATGTCTACAGTGTCAGTAACTGCATGTTAAATAGCCTAGGTGTGGTGCTGTGCGGATTAAATTGCTTAATGTAGCTTCACCACAAAGACTTTACTGTTCACATATAAGTGTTGTGTATCGAATTCAAATGGGCAAGCGCTGCTTATTATCACTTCAAACGAGCGGCGAAAGTGTCGAGCTGCAGTCGTTGTCAGCGCTGTGCGGGCGCGAGACACCGGTTCGGTGTGGTCCAGCTGTTCTCTTGCACTGCGCGGTTTAACCAGGTAACTTAGTGCTGTTTCATCACTTGGCTTTCAGTGTTTGTTTCCCATGCGCTACAGTAAAGCCGAGGTGATTAAAAGATACCCGCAACTCTAGTGTAAACGAGTACAAAGACAAATTTAT